CACAAACTGAGGCTGGAAACACATTTATATTTATAATAATAATAATAAACTCCAGCCGTAATAAAACGTTACAAACTAAACTCGACAGAAATCAGACAACTTCTCACCTGAGTTACGTATTTCTCCAGCTGCTTCGCGGCCTTTTTGTACCCGTTTATCTTCAGGTGTTTGTGGATTAAAAACAGCAGAACGTCGCTGTCCTCCGAGGACATGTTGTCCCGCCTGTCCGACCCAGAGACGCGCAGAGAAATGTCCCAAATGCTCTCAATTAGCGACGCTTCGCTTCGTCCCGGGTTGTCACCAGTCCGCGCACGTGCGGGTTGGAGCCGACTCGAAAGGCATCATGGGAAATGTAGTTTATTTTTAATAAAGAGAATAAAACATATTTTACAAGTTAATATTAACTTATTGTTGCTGCACTAAACAATATATATTGATTTTAATATAAAATGTAAAAAAACATACAATATTTTTGTAATATTACTGTCAGAAATGCAAGTCTCTTTATTTGTTCCTCAATCTTTTAGATATTTTTCTTGATGTTTTTTATTATTATTACTATTATTAGATTGTCAGAGAAGAAGCAGAAGGCTAAATACAGGTTTCTAATAAAAAACAGGTCCTGATCAGATAAAGACTCACAGGAGTGAAGATGTGTGACCTGAGGGAGACCACAAATCTGTGACAGCAGAGAACAAGACAAGCTTTCTAGAAACATGACAGATTTATGTGACAGGACAGGAGCTTGAAGYCCACATTAAAAAGAAACAGATCAGAACACAAGAGGGCCGAGCTCCCAAACATACCGCTCATTCCTCAGAGCTTCCACTGTGAGAGCGAGCCGCTGCAGGAAGCACGACTGTGTTTGGCTGCGTTCGCTTCAGGCCTTCATGGACCAGGAAGCCTCAGAAACTGATCCTGGACCTGAGTCCACTGCAGGACGGACTGCTGAGGAGGACAGAACCTGAATAAATACTAGTCTGCAAAACTGGATAAACTAAATGTGGTTTTAATTTGAAACATCATGCATTAATGCTGCATTAAACTCATCGGTTTATTACTAAAACAAGTATAAATACTTTGAAGATCCGCTAAATTCTTTAAAAATATGGGCGTGTAAAATGTAAATAAAACTGCAGATTAAAAACTTTTGCTGACTTGGTCACAAATCAAAATGTTGCAAACGAGGCTGACTTTTGATTTTTTTTTTTTTTTTTTTTTTTTGTCATTTAATGATTTTCAAATCGTTTTACTTTGTGTACAAATATTTTACACAAGATTCCTTCAAAAAGGAAGTTAGCTACTATCCTGCTACTTTCAGCTTTAACCAAACATTTGTTACATTTAACTAGCCTTATGATACTTTTAGCATTTAGCTGGCTTTTTGCCACTTTTAGCTTTCAGCCAGCCTTTTGCTATTTTTGCTACTTTCAGTTTTTACCTACAGCTATGCTACTTAGAGCTGATTTATTTTATTTTTAACACTTAGCTGTCTGTTTATAGTTAGCATGTAGCTTTTAGCTTTTTGTTATTTATACTTTTCAGTGTTTTCATTTTTTTTACCTTTAGTTTTTCATTGGCTTCTCTATACTTACCTTTATAAATCTTTAGCTTATAGTTGTTGCTGTTTTATTTTATTTTTATAATTAGCATTTAGCTAACCTTTGACTACATTTGGTTCTTTTAGCTTTTTCCAACTTTCAATTTTTAGCTAGTTTTTATACTTTAACTATTTTTTATCATTTATTTGGCTTTTTATTACATTTAGCTTTTAGCTAAAGGCTAATGTTGCTATATTTAGCATTTAGCTACATTTGGTATCATTTATCTTTTAAATAACTAAGCTTTTGGAGTTGTTTGCATCATTAAGCTTTTAGCTAGCATTAAGCTAAATTTGGCTTTTGGAATTTTGAATCATTCAGCTTATATCTATAGCATGTAGCTATATTTAGCTTTTAGTTTAGCTTTTGGCGCGTGGTCTGCTTGTTCACCACTCAGCATGTGATGAAKTCAATTTTTTATTTGTTTATAAGTATAAACATAAACTTTAATTTTCAAAATAAGGGCACAACATTTCTTAAAGAAATTACAGACTTTAAGCCTTTTGTTTAAACCTTTAAAATAATTTAAACAAAGAGAAATAACAGTGTTAATGACTGTCTGCTGCTATCATAGTAAATCTATTTAAAGTGACTCAGATATTTGTGTTTTTCTAACGTCCTGATGTAAACTCATCCCCCAGAGCTCCTGAGAAGTGTTTGCATTTGTACAGTTTTTTTTTTTTTTTTTAAGCCAAACTGAGACACATTCCTGGTTTCCTGCTCAGAGCCAGCTGGCTGCTCTCCTCTCAGCCCGGCCTCACACACCGACACCGCTCGGTTCGGGTTCGGCTCGGTTTCCCGCTGCTTCGGTTCCGACAGAATGAGCAGCGAATTCACGTAAAACTCAAGCAAGTCACAAACTAGATTAATAACCGGTGAATGAAGCGGTACCGTGGTTTAATTATCGTTTCTTCAGAGAGAAATCACGTCAGTAAACTCAAATCACCGGATGTTGAGGAGTAAAACCTTCAAAATAAAACGGTTCACAGTTCGTGTCTGTGACAAAAATAACTTTATTATTTATTATATTTAAATTCATTTAATGTATATAGT